TTGTTTACGATATCAATTATATGAGATCATTTGATCAAGTATAGCGTATTCAAAGCCTCTTTATGAAGAACATTTAGCAACACTGAAATGATCATAGGCATTAGCTCGGAACTCTGAAAATTCAATTATATGTACAGCTTGACATTTCTCAAGACAGTCCAAACTGACCGTGATGGCTTCTCCACACTCACACCCTACTTCTGTACCAGCGAAATGAATGTTAATTAGTGAGCTATATTATCGAATTAACCAATCACCAAATAGCTAGAATTGAACCATGTCTCTTCGCTTTCGTCGTCAAGTTCGTATTTGTACTTCTGACAGTCAACATGCAATGAACAGTAATTGTGAATGTTGGAATAGATCCGACATAGCAGTTGCCACAGAGAGAAATTCAAGAGCGAGTTACAACATAGATTAGATAAAAGAAAGAGCGTCAATGTTTCATCATGCACAGTGTATCAGACGAGAACATTTCAATGGAATTCTTCAGTCTGCGAAAAAAAAGGTTCGAAATTCTAAATAATAATGGTTTGTATGCATAATTTATTGACAAAGCTGACATCAAGAAACAAACAAATGATTGAAAAGCAATATTAGTTTCACGAGTGTGCTTTTATAAATTTGTTTGGTATTCATTGTATTTCTGTATTGGGTTGTGAAAATATCGTACTGTCTACCTCTTTTTTGATTTGCTAGTAAAAACATCACATATGGAAAGAGTGATAGTACAACAACATGACATTCTCAATGAAAATATTGAACTGTAGAACTCGAGAAAGATTTGGATGTTTTAGACTTCAAAGACCTATTTTCTGCACTCTATAGAGCTCATATAATCATGTATCTCAAGTGTGGGCGTGAGTGTGAGGGTATGAATGAAGAGAAGAATAACACCCACACCCACACCATTTGTTCGAAATTTTTTATAGTTTACTCATGTTATAAAAACCGGAACAAAACCGGTGGTTTACTGCGGTTTTACCGGTCCGGTTAGCAGCTCCCATTACATACAATTTACCGCGGTTTACCGCTAAAATTGATACGGTATTTACGATATGGGTATCAATTGAACTATTGGGTACATCAAGGAAGGTTTTTGTTTGTTCAATCAAATTTTGTTCGTTTTTTTTATAATAAAAATTTTTCTTTCAACTATTCGTTTAACCCTTTGAGGACCGGCGGGTTATTTTTGACCTACCCATTTTTCAGTAAAGAAAAACGTGTTTAGTTCACATTAAACTATTAAATATGTAAGGTCATTAAGGTCATAAACAACTACATTTGTCACCTCATACTTTTCTTTTCTTTCTTTCCTTCTCTCAGATAACTTCTTTTCAAATATCCTTTGTTCTTGCTGCCAAGATACAGTGACATCATAATTAAAATTTTGACAATGAAATGCATTTGCTTGCGAAACGAAAAAGAAGAAGGTGTACTTATTGTAGCACCAAGGAAGCAGATTTTCGATCCAACATCCAGTGCTTTACTTGTAAATTGCCATTTTGTTTAAAAGATGAAAACAATTTTGTTTTTGGCTATCATAACATTTTTATATAGCTATTTTGAGTTAAAATAAAATAAAAAAGTTGAAAAATGTTTTTTTTTTGATTAAAAAAATTTGGTCTTCAAAGGGTTAAGGGCTCCTCAGAATTGACTTCCCACTTAGGACTCACCGTTTGGGCTGAAATTTTCAGGAATGATTGATCCTAGTGAGAAACGCTTGTGATAAAAATTTCAGCTTGAGATGCTCGACTACATCGCAGTTTTGGCTTGTTTTCCTACCTTTCAGAAGAATCGAAATAACTCCGTCATTAGAAGGAGTACAGAGCTCGGGCTGGTTTCAAATTGGAGCTAGCCTCTGTATGCAACTTTTCAACGGACGGGATTTTCAAACTCCCTTCCATTCATTTTTTATGAGCATTTTTGTGGATATTCTTGCAAAATAAGCATAAAAAAATGCGCCTCTACGACAGTAAATTCCACTTTTCTCAGCTGCAGGATCGAGTATCAAAAATCCGTCCGATGAAAAGTTACCTCTGATTAAGACCTTTATAACAAAAATAAACATCGGTCATACACCAAGTCGAGCGGAAGTTATTTCAATTTTCCTATCTAGAAACCGTATTTTGAGAAAAATGCTAAAGAATTTTTAGAAATGGATTTTTTCATTCAAATTCAGAGCAAGCCATATTACAATGGTATATTCCATTGCACCGTTTTAAAGGACGTAAGAGATGAAAGTAGCTAGAACCATCTGACGTGCTATATGAAAATTTCTCCGAAAATATGGTAGTCGGTTTAAAGTTTTATGCGATAAGTCTTTGAAAATCTGATCATTTTCCAAAAAACTATACATATTCTGAAAGAGGAAGCTTCGCTGCATCTTTCTATGAGGGTGTGGGTGGGTATGAGTGAGTGTAGGCATTGTCTCTATCCAAAGCCACACCCACACCCTTTATATCTATTGATTTAACATATATTTCTTCTTTTGTTAACATCCTCAATAGGAATTTAGATAGTAAGTAACAACACCATCTATTTGATGAAATGAATATCTAAGTGATATAAATCATAATTATTTTAGAAACAAATATAATTTCTAGAATTACTGAAATTGACTAATTGATATGGAAGTAATTAGGTTTTTTGTTTTCGAGAAGCAACAATTGATTCATCTTCTAAATTGTAATTAAATTAGATAGCTTTACTTTTAAAAAGAAAAATCCCGTCCGATAAATTGAATTCATTACTATCATTACCCTCATATTCTGAAAAAAAAGGAATGTTAGACATATTAAATTATACATTATAATAACTCACCTTTTTTGTTTTGTTTTTTCAATCTATATAATCCTTCACCGCAGTACCATTGAGAAAATAAATATTTGACAATGCAACCTTTTTTTCGAATTCTCTGTAAATAACCATTACGATTCATTGCAATCTATCAGAATAAAAATGAACAAACTTCATATATGTTATAAAAAAAAAGCTTGTTAGCACATCTCACGTTTGAGGATAACATGTGAAACTCATGTCTTCATTATACTAAAAAAAAATACGTAAAGTAAAAAATACCTAACGAATGATAGTTGTTTTCCAAGAATAATCAATTGCTAGAGAAACGATTTGCCTTGTTTATGTCCGCATTTCGAACAGAAGTTTTTTTTATTTTATTTGTTTTTTTCTCTTATTGTTATGTGTTCATTGTTTATTTTCTACTTTTCCATATTATTCTAATCATCGATTTAACTGAAAAATAAGTCCGTTGTATATATCCATCTATATCTACAGCAGGTTTCAGCGTAGTATTATGTCTTTTGTTAAACTCAGAAACAGTGATATGAATTATTTTCGAAAGTGGGAACTTGATTAGTTCATGCTTTGTATGTCGGACATATAATGATTATGCTAAATCAATACATCACTAGTCATCATTCAAAAAAAAAAAAACTATTTTATTTTTTATATTAATAATAAAATAAAATTATCATGCAAACATATTCCAATTATTTCTAATACTTTACAATCTCATCAATTTTAAAGGACATAAATAGACAACCCTAGTTAAAAAGTAGTTATCATACACTTTGTATTTTCATGTATTTCTTTATACTTCAATATAATTCTGTACTTTTCTTATAAAAAAAGTACAAATCTTTACTTATTGAAGAAAAACTCAATACATCTTTTAATATGAGATAGACAAAATTACAAAAAAATCTGAAGACAATACGTTCAAATATATAAAAACATAGATTTGTAAAATATGATATCAACTCTTAACATTTATACTTAATTTCCAAGAACTCTTCTTATTATCATTTTAATTCGAGAACAACAATAAGAGCAATGACAATTTACAGGTATAGTGATATAAATTTAATAGTTGTTACTATTTTCATAATTGTGATGCAATAGATCACATTTAACTGTCAATTATGAGAAGAAAAACGTGTTCTCTCATGATACTGTATGCTTTTGAAGATTGATCTTCAACAAATGTAATTCTCAAGGATTCGGACAATTTTAAAGTGTCTTTTTTAATTTATCTCCTTAATCCCACTTGATTCTTAGTTAAAATAATAGTGAAATGATTGTTATTCTACTATTCAATCCATATTCTTCAGGTATCTGTTTATTGTTCAATTGTTGTAAAAGATGGTATAGATGCTCAAAAATTCTTTATATTATGTTCTACTTCTTTTTGATTCAAATATCGGCCAGTCTAAACGACTTGTTTGGACGGTTCAATTGAAACAAAATGATCTATTTAAAGATTTTTCTCAAGTCACTAGAAAAAATCCTAGATAATTTTTCGCACAAAAAGTATCATTTTCATTCAAATGCCGACAAGTTCAGAAATATTCATGTTACAAATAGATATATTTAGTTGCGATTTTTTACCTTTCGAGACATAATATTGATTGTATTAAAGCAATGTCTTAGAGGACAAATCAACTCATTAGTTTTAGAAAAGTAATGCAGTTTATATAATACAGAAAAACTTTAATCAAATATTTCTAAACTAGGCCACGTTTAATTTTCAGTTATACTCTTTATATGAAAAAAGTTACAGCAGATTTTTTTTTATCAATGACTTGAGAAAATGGTTTGCTAATCAACTTGCTTTTCTTCGATTACTTTTGATTACATATAACATAATCAATCGTCACTCTGCTATTTGGACTGTCTAAATTCATCTCAATCGATGATTAGATCGTAGTTTGCCGTCAAGTGTCGGATCATATACTCGAATTCATTTTGTCATCTCGTTTTTTTTCTCGCTGTTGTATCCCGCTGAGTAGTCTGGACGATGAAATCAATAGATAAAACGAACTAGACATGAAGCATGATACTTCACACTTCACCTAATGGATAATGTGCGTATCCGACTAGTCAGTCATGTCGGACGTTCTCATTTATTTTTCGCTTATCTGGAACATTATATATAGTCATAACTGCTAGCAAAACGAAATCACTATTTTGATAAAATAATGCCTCCCCCGTGTACCATCGAAACATGCAAACGTAAATCGCGAGCATTATGTCATTGTTGCAGCAAGAATCTTTGTCTTGATCATTTGAAAGAACATGATGATTCAATCAATTCTCAAATAAATACTCTTGCTGATGAAATTAATACTTTTGAAAATCAATTGTCAACATTAAATGTTGATGAAGTTATTAGCAAATGTCGTCAAAAATTGGATAAATGGCGTCATGATTGTTATATTATAATCGATCGTTTTTATGAAGAAAAATGTCAAGAACTACAACAACGTTGTGTTCAACAAGCAGATCAAAAACGAAAAAAAATTCATCAATTTAAATTAAAAACAAATGAACTTATTCGAGAACAAGAAGCTACACATGACGATATTTCTTCATTGAAAGCAACTATTGATGGTATCAAGCATGACGTTAACCAATATGAAGAAAACGGCATTTTAGTTGATGTTCATCCTTTAATTATTAACCAAAATTTAGTTTATATTGAAGAATTGACATCAGATGAACTTGATATATCAACCCTTTCGTCTCCTTACCGAACAATCGATTGTTTCAATGATAATTGGCCTGTATTAGCTAGCAACAATCAGTTTTTACTATTAGATCAATATCCAAATTTATGTTTATTTAATAAGGAATTGACTCTTCTAAAACAATCTCCATGGAAATATGATCGCATTCCTGATATGTGTTGATCATCGACATTAAATAGTTTTATTATCATAACAAACAAAAATGGAGTTTTTCTGATTAACGAAAATCTAACATCAATTGAATGCATTCAAACAATCGAGAAGAATGAGTGGTTATCTTGTACATGCTCAGATGTATCTCTATTTCTAACCACCAGTGAATCGGGTTCTGCTATTTTTCAATTCAATCTTTTATCGTCGTTTCATTTCATCAAACAATGGAAATCTCCTCAAACTTGTAAGAACAACGAACTTATCCACAATGTTGCTTATAACAATGGAACACTTGCTTTAATAATAAGCCACAAATACAATAAACCAGTGCGCATAGAACTTCGATCTTCATCAACACTTGATCAACTCTGGTCACTCCTATTGGATACAACGCGTAATATTGGACCACGGGTATATCGTGTTTGTTTACTCAAATATGACGAATGGCTTGTAATCGATTATACTACTTCATGTCTTTTACATATTAGTAAAGATGGAAAAGTGAAGGCAAGGCGTTCATACCAACCAACAGTTCATAATGCTGTTTTATTTGGTTCAAACATATTGGCTACTAGAACTACAAATTGTCTCAATTTTTATAGAATATAATAATAGAACTGTATTATTGTAAATTAAAATAGATAGATCTATATTGTTTATTTATGATTAATAAATATCTCGTCAAGTCTTTGTATAAAACAAAATTTCTTTTTCCTGTAGATCCTTTGAGAAAAACAAATTATTTGTTTTTTTTTATTAATTTTTCACGAATTACTCATATAGAGTAACAATCAAAAACAAAAATAACATCCTCATTGACAGTGTCGGTGCAGGTGTCGGCATTCACGAATTTCATTTTTTACAAAAATATCAATTTTGTAGTTCTTTAGTAAAACTCAATTTCATTCTCATTAAATACTCTTTTTCACGACAAATACTTCAACATCAAATACTCTTCTGATGTTTTTTTTTATTTAGATAGTTGTTTCATTGTTGAAGTAATCTGTTTAATTTAAAAACACAAAGTAACAAAACAATGACATAAGCACAGAAATCAAATATTTTTATGGTATGATAGGTAAATGATAACATAAATATTTTAGTGAAGAAGCAAACGCTGAATACGATCATTCTGAGCGTCTGATATATACAAGTACTTTTTGTCATCATCGATTGCTAAAATAAAGGTCTCATTCATAAGGTATGGTATACTACTCGCTGTTCATTTGGTCTTTTTGCAACAATGATACTAGTGCGGGTGTGGGTACAGAGAAGACCAAGGGTGTGAGTGTGGGGTGTGAGTGTGGGGGGGGGGTGGGTGTGGGTGTGGGTGTGGGTGTGGGGTGTGGGTCAACAGAAGATGTACACTCACACTCACACCCACAGCCACAGCCACACTCGCACCTACACCACTCACGCCCACACCCACACTCACACCCACCCCATGAGAGAAAGTTCAACAGTTGTCGCTGTCGTCAAATCGGTATAGCATATAATGGATCGAGATGCTTTTTTCTGATAATGCAATCGAAGGAAAGAAGAAGAGGTTGGATGAAATGTCGAGATTTCAAAATCAATTCAAGGATATTGATAAACAAAGATAGAAGTCGAATTTACAGAAGCACAAGAATGAGGGTAAAGGTGTTCGATTAAGTAGACCGCCTTCCCTTCAACAAACGGACTTTCCTCAAAGAATCAGGTTTTGACATTCTTATCTTCTTCGTCAATACAGACAGGGTCTCCACCCATATACACATCAAAAAATGCCCAGAGTCACTTTACTCTGAAACACACAATACAAAGCAAACAAGTTGAGTATATAATACATAACAGAATCCGTTGAGTCAGAAGTAGTAATAGCTTACCAGGAAATACGATAGAAAGTATGATTTGGAGGCATATCATGTCGAACTAAAACAATAAAAATTTGCACTAATGTATTAAGCAAAAAACATATATACTATTACACTTCTAGTGTTTTGATGTGAGATTATTAATACCGAACCGAACGAGTCTATTCATGTATAATACAAATCGTCTTCTGCTTATATATATGTGTCAGGCAAAATTGAGATCTAGGCAAAATTAAACAAAGCTATTAAAAGACTTGAAATTTTAAAAAAGTTAAAAAACATAAAAATAAATAGTTGATCCTATAAATTTAAGTTAAGTTATATTCAACTTTAATTCAAATTTAACTCAGTTTAGGAAGATGTAGAGTTCGCCACTTTTTTTAATGCAAATCTAATTAAAACTTAGGAAGATGTAGAGTTCGCCACTTTTTTCAATGCAAATCTAACTAAAATTTAGGAAGATGTAGAGTTCGCCACGTTTTTCTATGCAATTCTAAATAAAATATAGGAAGATGTAGAGTTCGCCACTATTTTCAATACAAAGTGTATTGAATTTAGGAAGATGTAGAGTTCGCCACTTTTTTCAATGCAAATCTAAATAAAATATAGGAAGATGTAGAGTCCGCCACTTTTCCCAATGCAAATCTAAACAGTATATTGTAAGAGGTAGAGTTCGCCACTATTTTCAATACAAATTGTATTGAATTTAGGAAGATGTAGAGTTCGCCACTTTTTTCAATGCAAATCTAACTAAAATTTAGGAAGATGTAGAGTTCGCCACGTCTTTCTATGCAAATCTAAATAAAATATAGGAAGGTGTAGAGTTTGCTACTGTATTCTATTAAAATTTAATTGATTTTAGAAATTTTTAGAATTGGTCAGTATAGTCTGTCGAAATCTCGTTGAGTTTTGAAAGGCGAGAAATTCGAAAGATTAGACAATATATATTGTTTGAATAGCAGTCAATTATAGTCTTTCAACGAAGTTATTGATATTTTTTTCACTCTTTTAATAATTTATTGTCGTTGAGTTTTTTATATCAACTATTTGTTTTGATTCTGATTTTTATTAACAAGATCTGTTTATTCACAGAAAACTCGATAAATAGACTTATGTGGACATTGTCTTTCTTACGATTCAATATAAAATGCTATCAACAAAAACTGTGATAAATATTAATCTCTCGGAAAGTCATTTATATATGATCACCGTAAGAATAGCGATAACATATAATGAATCACATAGATGATTCAATAATCAATGATCATATGGCTGAAACATGTTGCTATGGATTAATAGAGTTCTTTTGTTGATAAATAGCACAATATTTACATCTAAACTTTGATCATTCAATCAAAAAAACAGCTATTCTAGTTACGCTAGCAGAAAACGCCTACCCGACCAAAAAAAGAAAAAAAAAGGAGGAGGACTAAGATTATGTTTATTTCAATCCTTTTTCACATCTTTGTTCATATACCTCAAGGGTAAAGTTCTGTTTATTCTATATGTTTAGAATATTAATGTGAAAGATAGATGTTAAAATGTTCAAAAACGAACTTGTTGGCAATATTGATAATATTGGTTTTTGTAATATTTTCTTTTTCGACATGAAAGACAAAGTATTATAAAGATTTTTAAAAGACATCGATTATACTTCTTATAGTTCATCGATAAACTATCTAGACATTTATCGCATCATGCATTAGTCGTGTGGGGAAAAAAAAGAAAATTTGTCAACGAATAACTTTTTAATCTCTGATGATACTGGAGAAAAAAGTGTAGCTGTTTAATGAAATATTCAGCTACTCCTGTCTTCTAACTGGTATATTTCGAGCAAGGACCAAAAATGACAAAAATTCGTCAACTAATACCCTTTTGATCTCTAATAATATTGATGAAATAACCATAGCTGTTCTATGATTACTCAGCCAGCCATTTATTGTAACTGATCTATTTCGAGCAAGGGCCGAAAAAAAAAGAAAATTCGTCAAATAATAACCTTTCAAATTTCTAACAACATTAAAGAAATAAGCGTAGTTTTTTTAATAAATACTCAGGTACTCATTCACTCTAATCGTTTTATTTCGAACAAGGATCATTTCAAGAATTGAATTCTTTTACCTGCTTGTAATAAGTTATCAAATCAATTAAGATATGTATGAAAATGTTTAAATAAGTACAATGATTTTTATGTAGCGGTAGACCTTCAATTGCTGATTATAAAAAGAAGTCCAACACGAAATTTTGTTAGAAGTCAATTAGACACTTAAATCATATAATAGCTGTATATATTTTTTTTCCAACTAAGCTCTTTTAAAAAGTTATCATAATGTTTAAACTGTGACATGAAGTACTGCTGCAAACGAAAGGTTGTTACAAAACAAGTAGCTACTTAATCATCAAGTAGCTGTATATTATTCGAAAAAGTATTTCGTTTGAGAAGCTACGGTTTCAACATGATTATATTTCTAAACATTCTTCATCGCTTCAAATAGTAGCATCGGTTAATCAATTTTTGCATCGCATAGTAAAGTTTTCAAGTCAGTATTTTGTACAACAAAAATGCAGCACCAAGATGTAAAACGTTAATCGAAATCTGTTGAAGACTTATTCGTAAGACGACGAAGAATAATCTTTTCATTCATGCCTTACATGAGTACAATCTTTTCTCTAAATCTGCTATTGAAAGATTAAAGATGTTTACTTGCTTGTTCATAAAATTGTTTTCGAGATTCAATTTCTGATGTTGAATGAGAAGTCATCACTGTACTTATGATACGATTACATATGTGAAAATGAATGTTCTGCTTTTTTATTTACAGTTTATGTAAACGAATAATTATTTTTTTCTATTGATAGTCAGATCAACAATCAATAAAAAAAATTTTCCTTTTTCGCGCCTACTAAAACTAATTTTACCTAAGTTTAATTTTGCCTAAAGTTTAATTTTTCCTGGGACATATGTGTACAGACACATACTTCCTGTTTTCTGACGCACTTCCTTCTTCTTATTACACAGTAATAATGTCAAGGCTATATGCAACAATCTACTGATATGTACTTAAGATGTACTATAAAATAGAAATGTATTAAGGGTTTTTCCAATGTAGATATTGTCAGTTATATCTCTTTCGTTCTTTCTGTCATATTTTTCTC